TAGAATGGTCAGACATGTGGTTGGGTTAGTTGTCTTAAGGAATTAAGACACAAAGTGGGTGAAAGTGGAAGCAGACGGAGTACGTCGTGCATACTCTTGGCTACCCCTCGCGTAGCCAGTTTCGACCCCCACTATACGATGTTTGAGCTGTACGCCCCACGTAAGAAGAGGTACACCCAGCGTACTCACTGGGTAGTTGACTTTTTTTGACTTTTGACATTGGGTCAAGATTTAGGGTTTTGGGCCATGGGAAGGGCAAAATGGTCTTTTCACCCTTAGAGGACTTAGTTGTGAGATTGGTCTGGCTAGTTGAGTTTTGGACCTTAATTACTAATTAGGGTTAATTATTTCGTTGATTAGGTGGAGTCTAGTTCCGGCAGTTCGGGTGTGAGGTTTACTTGTCGTCTGTATCAGGTGAGTCTCCTCACTTATTCTTACTTGTGTGGTAGAATAATTGTATCTGTGATGACCACTGGGTCTAGCTGTTATTATTATGTTGTGCTGTTATTATGTGACTAAGACTGTTCATAGTCTCCAAGGTTGCTGATAACCCACATGGCATACTGTTAGCCCACTGGGACTGCTGATAGTCCCCAGGATTGCTGATAACCCATAGTTGTTTATTTATGTTGTGATGTATGTTGTATCTTGGGGAACTCACTAAGTTTCGTGCTTACAGTTGTTGATTTATATGTGGCAGGTACTTTTGAGGACTGCGGGAAGGCGAATATCTGATTGTACACACTCGCTGGGGGATTTACTACTGGGACAGTTTATGAACTCTGATATTTTGTGAAAGTGGTTGTTTGGGTAATTATATGGTTGATAACTTGGTTTGAGAAACTTATTTTGGTAAATTAAGAATGAAAAAAAATTGGTCTAAAATTTGAGGTGTTACAATGTTTGTGAGTGGTTCTCACCTCGAGAATCATACGTCTCTTTGTTCTTCTAATCATTAGGTTACAAAAACTTTTATCTCATGTTTTTTGGTTTATTGTAATCATTAAGCTACCAAAATTGTTTTGATTTGTAAACATTTGAGAAATAACGTTTTAAGGATTTCTGGTATTGAGCCGACACTCATACAGGTGTTACTGGGATAAAAACTGTATTTTTTTTCATGGGAATGACATTGACAGTGAAATTGCAAATATGCATTTACTAGCCAACAAAGGCAGTAATGGCTGGTAATTATTATCCATGATCATACATGCATACATATATTCCATAGAGAAAACAACAAAGGTACCACTTGAGGAATTTTATTTTCTGGATTAAAAGTAAAAACGAACATGAAATAAGTTAGAAGATATGGAAACAAAAAACATGTGGTGCTATAGTATCATTATAAGTCGACTTCTTTCACATTCATGGGCCCGTACATTATTAGTTTTAATTTTCTTTTACAAATCTGGTTAGTGAGTCAAGTTGTTAAAGATTTGCTTTCTTCTTTACGAGTTGTTTGTTATTAGAAACTAATTTATAATTTGTAGGAATCACAGTTATAAAATTAATTAAATATTCATAGTAAAAGTTTATAATTATTAACCAATTATTTTAAATAAATTATTAATTAAGAGATACCAAAATTTTAAGTTAGTTATAACTTCAAATTTAACATATAATTACAAAAAATAAAACTTTCTATAAAAAGTTTAAAATCGATTATTCAAAACCTTAACGTCAGTAATTGTGATAGTGATTTGTTTAATATATCTCTCTGACACGTGACATAATATTAATGCGGAGTTGTATTAAAGTGACACATGACAAAAGAAGATTAAAGTTATTTTTTTATTAGTATAGAGAAGATTTGAATGATATGATTATAATAAAATCTTGTATTATAAATTAGTAACTCTTTCTAAATCAATCGTTTGCTTTTACATATTATAAACATGCTTTAAAAAAATAGAAAAACCTAAAAAGTCGAAAATTAATTTAGTAGAACTCAAAAACTGAAAGATATCGAACATAATCAGTTTTCTCAAAGTAAAAAACCAAATAGGTTCGTTTTAATAAAAAACCGAGCCGCTCTAAAAGCCTTGCTCACACCCTACATAACAACATTTTTACATGCAAACAATGAAACATATTGGCATATAGTTTGTCACCACACATAAAACAATACTGGTTTTAAGTTTGGAAATTGTATAACTATTCCCTCAAAAGTAAAATGGAGAACATGAAAATAACCTACGAGCAACTGTATCTTCTATATTTTACAAGCACACTAAAAGTTGTTATCAAGACACCAAAATAGGCGGGGACCTGTGGGGAACCTTATGTTTGAGCATTGAGATCTTATTAACCATTATACGATTGTTTTTTCATATATTTAGCTATCGCTCTCAGCCAGAAATTAATGTATCTGGACTTAATTTTGGTCTCACCATCAACCACAAGATGCAAATGAACAAGTTTGACGCAATTGATAACAAACTACTAAAATATTAAGTGTACCCAAACTAGCATATTACGAAGTTTCATATTTAGTTATCAAAATAATAAATGGGTGTATTGGTAACAATGTTTTGAGAGTTTTTAGTAGTTGTTAAAAAAAACTTGAACTAAAGAAAAGGGTTCGGATTTAATGTTTTTATTTTTTAACAAAAAACTTTTAATCAAAAAGCTACTTCAAAAAAACTTTTTAGGGCTTTTTGCTATTATATTTCATGTTTTATGTAATTTACATATTATAAAAGCTTAAACTACTTTTGTCAAACATTTTTATACAAATAAAAACTACGGTTTCCAACTACCAAGTACTTTTGCCAAACATACCCCACCTCAATGGCATATTAAATATAACATTCAAAAATGAATTCGAAAAGTACTTGCAAACACACTGGACAAAGCCAAACGGATTCTATAATAATATAATTAGCCACTTCTAATGATTATATGTTTTGCTCATAGCAGGAAAGATGACACTAGGTGAGGGCATTCACTTCTTTTGTACACACAAGAGATTAAAAGCAAGCCATCTTCCACCTTTTTGGGTGGAAATAAAAATTGCAATTGTTATCACATTGACATCGGTCCCATTCCAGTCTAGTCACTCAAGACAATTGAGTTTGTTATGTTATGTCGTATCACGTATGTAACAAACAAAACTTTCAAATAATAAGAGAAAATCATATTACCAGAAGGCTATCTTGGGACATGACAAGGAAAAGTACAAGTATCAAGTTGTTGATCCATAGACTATTAACCAAATTGGTCACATTATCTTATCTTTGCACATGTATCCAGCCCAAGCTTTGTTATTTTCTCTATGTTCATTTCCACCTGTCACCAAGTCGAACTGCAACATCATAACAGAATAAATACCTTTTTTTCTTCTTTTCTTTTTTAATTATCGTTCTCCAAATCACAAAACTGATTAAGAAACTAAGCTCTCTAAAACAGGGACTGAAAATGAAGGTAAAGTTTTTAACTCTATTGACATTGCCTCTTGAATGCTACTGCTACATGTTTGCCTCTGTTTCTTTTCAGCTACTAGATTGGATGCAGCACAAGTTTCACCAGACCAGCAATGAGCACCTAATAACAGAATTTGCTCCAAGTAAGTCATGACATGTATCATCAGTTATCACATGTTTTATAAACGTATCATTTTACCCATTCCTTAATTAATGAACAGGGAACTCATGTGCATCACTTACGGATTTACAATACTATCCTAAATCACAGTACTGTTATTCTAAGGCTCAAAGCAATAAACAAAGAGAGAAGCATTTTCGTAAATCATTTGCATGCATAGAGAGTGCTAGATCAGATAAAGAGCAGAATGAACAGGAACCATCTGGTGAAGTAGAAGTACTCTTCCATGGATTCTTGGCAATTGGGACTCTTGCTATTACTGAACCAGAAACACCAACATTCGCCACCTCTGTTGAGAATATTACATGGAAAGAAACTGAAGCAACTGAGAATGAACTGAATGTTATCAATGGTGAGTTAGAAAAGGTGCTAAGAACTGAAGGAAGCGAAAAGAAGGAAGCTGATAGAGCAGTTGTTTGTCCACTACAGACTTATCTGTTTGGTTCTGTGATTGGATTGCCTGAAACAACTACGAGAAAGAAAGAACATAGAGCATCACTTGGAGAGCTCTTTCAGAGAAGTAAAATGGAAGAAAAAGAAACTGTTGGACCTAAAAACAATGATGGAGAAAAGAGAAAGGAGAAATCTGCTGTCCATTTGATGAAAAAGATACTAAAAGGAAGAACCCTATATCCTGGTTCAGCTCATAAAAAACCAGGCAAGGTAAGTATGTGCATGCACTTGACTTTTGTCTTCTAGTAAATGTATAGTTTAGCTCCACATTAATCTACCCTTTTAGTAAAAAGGGTAAATAATTAGTCGAGTGTATATATCCTTAATTGCATGGTTTTTTAATGTGGGGCTTTTTACAGCTCCAACGTATGTTCCATAGGAAAGTTCACCCTGAAAGTACTGGTGCACCTAAGTCTGACCATCTCACATTATTTCCTCTGGTGGATACTTCCAAAAAAGGTGAAAATTTTTGCACCAGTGATTCAGATGGGAACAGGGAATGCTGGATCAAATCAGACACAGAGTGTAAGTATACAAACATGAACCTCTGTCTTAATTCATTTATTATTATGATGATATGATTTTTATCATTGCTATTAATTTGTTTTTATATCATTATTATATATTATAGAATGTAGCAGTAGTTGATAACTTATGTAAGACCATGTCAGTAGGTAGGTAGGTAGGTTATCAACTACTTCCACATTCGGAAACAACAACGATACAAAAAGTTATTTAGCAATTAAGATGGAAAAGATTTTCAAGTTGATAAGCAGCCTAGAATATTATTATTATTATCTGACTCATGATCGCTATTTCTTGAGTAGACCTGGTGCTTGAAGTAAAAGGGAAAAAAGATGGCAAGTGATGTAGCACTATGTTGAATTGGGGCTGGAAGAAGTATGTTATATATGCAACGTCTACATTAATTGAATATATGAATTCCTATAATAATTTTTGAGTGTTATGTCGGTTGAAGAGAATAAAAGGGCACCTTCACCTTGTGATTGGATGCATGAGCGTGCCTAAAACTTATAAATCTTTGTATCCCTTCAGACATTTGTGTATTAGTGATCATATACCTGCAATATTTTATTCAGTTTTAATGAAATCCTATACCTTTCAGCTATAAATAGGAATACTTCAAAAAATTACAAAGAAACTTGTACATCTACAGATCACTACAACGATGAATTAATATTTGGTATGGGATATTCTTAAATCACATATATACTAGTAACATTTTAAATAATTAATCTTCACAATCTGTAAACTGAAAAGAGGGGACGTTTGGGCCTTAAGCAGTTATGGTCCTTATGAATAGAGTCGTATAATAAAGGTGCCCCAACAGTAACACTCCAAAGTCTAATAGCCTATATGCAAATTTGATTGAGGGCCTAGGTAGAATTGAAACTAATTTTAACCGTATTTTGCATCACTGTACTTTCAAAATAAGATGGATTAATAAGAATTCATTTATACTGAAAATAGTGGTAACTGACTTGTTAGAAGCCTACATGGATAAATGGCCGTGTTACCGTTTTCTTATAGAATCATACATGTACTTTTTTATCAACTGTTTAAATTCGGGAGTTTTTATTCATGGATCTGCTTATCTTGCCTTCCATCTTAATCGGTGCTCTTTTTTACAAAGTCTAATAAAATTACAATTGTTTTTAGAAAAGGGAAAATTAGAGTTTTTATGTTTCTTTTTTTCACATATCGCATTATATTCTACAGGTTTCTCTTATAAGGAGAAATAACAGAGCTGTAGTTAATAGATGATGCTTTTACATTATATTCTACAGGTTTCTCTTATAAGGAGAAATAACAGAGCTGTAGTTAATAGATGATGCTTTTACGATTTTTGTCCGAAAGTAAAGGAAACACTCCCGAAAAAAGTACACAGCTGCACATAAAAATTTACAGAAATGATGCAAGGGAAAAAACAATATACAGGTGGAGGTGGAACAACTTATACAAAACGTAAATAGAAAATGACAAAATAAATCCAGAAAAAAAGATATTAGCTGTAGAATGCTGAAAGTAGAAAGGAAAATGTGGTTTTTAAACAACAACAACAACATCAAGAAGTACGACTTCTATTATCCTATTAGACTTCAACAACATGATACAGAGGGAAGTGCACTACAAACTAAATTTTAACATAGATAGTTTCATGGAGGTTGCAAATACAGGATATGTAAAAAAAAATGGGATCGTATCAAGATAAGAATAATCTATTCGTTTCTATGTTCAATACTTTATAACCAAAGCCATATATATGAGCATTTATAACACCTACAAAGATGACAAGACCATACATATGTTTACAGGATCCTTGTAATCTTGTTGACCTCAGTTGCCAAAATGAACCTCAGAAGAGGAAGAAAAATTCTTCAATCAATAATCAATTTTAAAAAATTAGGCAAGTTATTAATAGAAGTTACTATTACTTCATATCATTAAACTGAATTACATTATATGATGCTTCCAAAATATAAAAATGTATCAAAGATGCAAAGCTTTTTACATGGACAAAAGCTAACTAAAATATAAGAAAAACCATCATCTTTTGTAATTTACCTATTCCAGGAGGGGCAACACCAAAATAACTAAATTGTTGTGGGTTCGGATAATTAAGTAATTTATTCTATTTTTTGAGTAGTAGTAGTAAACCGATGAGTAATCTATAACACACATCTAGTCATTTACTAACCTAACCTCCTTAGAAACATAAAGATAATAGTTACAACTGGGGATTCAAAAGTTGTGCCTTCCAAAGATTTGAGCTTTCCTGAATATCCACAACGCAATCCTGAAAATTAAACAAAAATTGGAATAAATTTCAATGATAAGTTAAAACAAAACCTGGTGAAGAGGGAAAGATTACAACTAATCCTCTTTCATGAATCAAAATTTGCCCAATCTTTCTGAATAGAACTCGCATGCTTCTTGTGGAGGAGCAATGATGGTTAAACAGAAGCTTGTAACCAATAATTTTACAAAAAAGCAGCATATAAACGTAGATGATAGAAAGTGATCATTAACTATTGCAACACCTCTAATGCATAGATAAAATCACCCTAGTTGCTTTGTACGAATTTCTGAGAAATCATGAGATGAAGGAAGAAGGAAAGAGAGACGCCTGTTTGCCAAAAATTAGGGCTTTTTAGCTTCATAGTTGTGAGGAGGGAAGCAATCACGTGAAGAGAAGAAAGAAGGGGCTAATGTAGTGGGGAGGAAAGGCGCAAGAAAGAAATCTGCTGTTGTTTTTCACCAAAAATCATCATCTGTGAGGTCTGAAACCCACTTGAATGCAAGAACTTGATTGCTGTTGTTTTGGATGCTTGTGTTTCTTCTGATTTCGTCGGTACCAATCTTGTCAAAATCGGTACAACGAGAGGAGCGGTGGAGCTGAATCGCATTTTTAGGATCGCTTTTCAACACACCTATTGGTTTTTTTTTGAAAAGATAACAAGTAAAAAAAATGTTTGGTAAACTCAAAAAAAAATTTCAGAATAGTTTTTCATTAACCTTTAAAAAACATTTTTAATAAGTACGTAAAACTTGGCTTTTTGCAACTGTTCAACCAAAATAACTTCAAAAAATACTTTTTAACTTATTGACTTTTTCACCATAAAAGTTTATCCAAATATTTTTTAAAAAACTCATTTTATCACCACTATAAGCAAATAAACACTTTTCTCTAGAAACACTTTTAGAGTTCAAAAAATACTTCCAAACAATATCATTGTGTAGAGAAAGGGGAGAGACGAAGAGCGGGTAAAGGGAACTACTGAGAGGAAGAGAAGCGCGAGATGGTAAATGGAACGGTGGTATGCAGTTGAGTAGAATAGCAAGTCCTGTCCACTGAATTGTCTAAATAATCGACTCAACAAAAAAAAAAAAAAACCAAAGGCCTTTGGCCTAACGGTAATGAGTGTCTCTCAAATGAGAGGTCACGAGTTAGTCTCACTAGGAGGCATAAGTGGTGTTTAGGATTAAATTAGGAATATGATAGTTTGTCGTTTAAAAAAAAAACCTTAGACCATGCGGTATGGGTCGCTACAACTGCGTTAACGCTGATGTGGTGCACCCGAAATGTCGGCATAACGTCGGAAACACCATCCCCGACTCCCGTTAATGTAAGTCTCGTTGTAACGACGATGGATGACAACGCCTCGTTTCTTCTCTCCTCTTTCTCTGCTTTTTTTTCTCTCAACGCCGTTACGGCATCTTGAACACCATCCCCTAATCTCGTTGTGGGGAGAAGATGGTGATGGGCATCGTTGTGGGTGGGTATGGGTGTTGCCCATACCCAATACTCTTAAATATCCAAATCCATATTACATGTGGAGGAGAGAATATCAATTTGGAATCGGAGCGGGTAGACGTAGATGCTGGAGCGATCAATGGTGGTTAAGAAAAGGAAAATATTGATAAATGAAGGGGTTGTTTGGGAGTCTTTTTTTTTGGACTTATAACTTTTTTTCAAAAAGAAGTTTTAAAAATGTGTTTAGATAACTTTTGAGGAAGACAAATATCAAAAAACCAAAAGTCACCAACTCGGTGGAGACCAGATGTCCTTCCTTCCCTACCTATCCACAGTTTTATTTAAGAAAACAAAGGAAAGGAAATTGCAGCATTTTTTAAGACCACTGGGTGTGGACAAACGCTCACAATCGTTTTTGTGACGTGACATAGAAAAAACGCCGTTACCACGAGAAACACCGCCCCCTTCCCGTTATGTAATGCTTCGTTGAGACGACAACGATTGATAACACATGTTTTTTTTTCTTTTCTCTATTTCACCATTGAAAAACAATAATAATTTTTTTTTAAAATTATTTATCTATTATCTTTAATTTTAATCACCACTTTTCTCTCTACTTCATAAACTTTCAATAATTCCAACACAAATGGATACGTTCGATGATGGTGATGAAGATGATATGTTTGTCTCTATGATGTACGAGTATTGCACGAACATGCTTCTACAACAAAATTCAGCTCCTCTATTAAACAAATGTCTGTTGTTAAACAGAGATCGTGAAAAGGGCACAGACGTCTAGTTCACGATTATTTTGCGGATGCTTGTGTCTACCAGCCACACAATTTCAAAAGAATGTTTCATTTACGGAAAAATGTTTTTGTTCGGATAGCCAACGCCTTGGAAAGCAGATATTGTTTCTTTCAAATATAACTTTTACATAATTTAAATACATTGTTTCTTTTAAATATAACTTTTACATAATTTAAATACATTGTTTTACATATTAAATATACGTTTAGGTATTAATCTTTCCAAATGAGATATGATGCTAGAGGTAAGCGTGGATTCACAGGGTTGCAGAAATGTGTTGTCGCAATTAAGCTTATGGCAATGGGAGAGTCGCCTGATTCGATTGACGATTATATGAGAATGTTTGAGAGAACGGCAAGAGAAACTTTGTATAGATTGGCAAAAGGTGTTGTCGAAACCTTCATTGATGTTTATTCGGGAAAACATTTGTTGAAGGATATACAACAACTATATGCGACGTATGAGGAAAGACACCGTTTGTCGGGTATGTTTGGAAGCATTGATTGCACACACTGGAAATGGAGAAATTGTGTCGTAGCGTGGAAATGCCAGTACGCAAGTGGTCATCATGGAACACCTTCGTTGGTATTAAAGGTTGTTGCTTCCTAAGATTTGTGGATTTGGCATGCTTTTTTCGAGGTTGCGGGTTCAAACAACGATGTGAACGTTCTTGGTCAGTCACCAATATTTGATGATATTTTGTCAGGAAAGGCACCGGATGCTCATTTCATAGTGAATGAAATAAATATAAGTTTGGGTATTACCTTAAGGATCAAATATATCCAACGTATTCCATATTTGTGAAGGCATTTCGACATCCAGTGGAACCAAGAGACGAATTTTTCAAGAGAAAACAAGAAGGAGCATGTAGGGATGTGGAACGTGCTTTTGGAGTTCTAAAGTCGAAATGACACATAGTTGAACATGTGGCACGACCATATCAGTTGGACGTTCTATAAGATATTATGTATGCATGTATCATAATGCATAACATGGTGGTTGTAGATAAAGGACGAAATATTGCAGAGTATTCGGCTTCGGAGCCCAGACACATGCAATTTCAACCCGGGGAAAGCGGAATATTTACATAGGGACGTTGATATTCAAGACACACGAAAACACAAGAAACTTCGGAAGACTTGACTGATTTTATGTACAATGGAAATGAAAATAATAAATTAGGGGTAAAAATGTAATTTTTTGTTGTTTTTAAATGTTATTTTTTTGTTGTAATGTTTTTTTTTAGATTTTTAAATGTTATATATAATTAAAAAAGTAGGTTATATTTAAATAACATGTTATATTATATTCATTTTGCTTTTATAAATATAAAAAATTAAATATAAAAAATGATGACATAGAGTGTTATAGCATGTTGTTCATTTTCTCTATTTGGTGTTATAATACCATATTGACATCACATGTGAGGTGACAACTTTTAGGTGTGATAGCACCCATTAACTAGTTGTCCACACCCACTAGTCTAAAAATCATTGTTAAGTTTAGTTATTGGAAGGGAGGAAAGAGGAAAAAAAGATTTATACTATTTCTCTTATAAATTTGTCATCCTAAATCGGAAGGAATTAGAATGAAAAGACATCCCCTTTCTTTTCTTTCTCTTTCTTTCCTGTAGTGAAATCAGGAGCGGATCGTTAGTGGAAGGGACAAGTATATCACAATACGCTGCCAAAATTGTAAGCATAAAGTGATAAGTAGTAGCCTAAACACTTGCAACCTAATCCATGTAAAAGAAGTAAATAGACCCTCCGACTCGATAGAAGAAAATGGATTCACTTTTGTTTTTATTGATTTGGAGCTTTAAAAAATCCAAATAAATCATCAAAATTCCACAAAAATTCTAGAATATTCCTCTAATCACTTTCCTTAAACTCTAAACATGGGGCTTTATATATATATATATATATATATATATATATATATATATATATATATATATATATATATATAAAGCTTGAAGAGAAGTGTTAAGAGCAAATTAAATTAAGGAGGCATTTGGTTTCCAAGTTTGCAATGAAAGGTGTTGGTAAATAAATAAATAAAAAGTACCTTAAGGATTTTCAGTTTGGGGTTGGCATGTTGGGTGGCGCTAAGGTTGTCTACATAGTGTCAATATGGTGTTGAGTGAGTGTCATGAGGATGAGTCTCTTGCAATGCCTACAGTGGATTGTAGAAGACATGGTGGTTTGTAGAGGTCCTTGTGGGTCTCTTCCATTTCATGAGGATGGGTCTCTTGCAATGCATACAGTGGATTGTAGTGGTCTGTTCTTTGATAAAGGGTTATGTGGGTTGATCAAGGACATGGTGGTTTATAGAGGTCCTTTCTTTGGGTACTCAATGACAAACTGCTTCATTACCCATTAGGTTTGGTGGTTTGGGACTTGGGTATGTACTCAGTGACATAGGGTTTCTCCTCCGATTTTGTTGTTGGAAAGAGTATCCAAGATCATTAACTATTGGTATATTTCTAATAATAGCAGGGTCCTTTTGGGTTGCCCTCATGACCCAAATTGAGTACAATAAATAAAGGAGAAATTAGTTTATTAATTACTATGGTCTAATGATTAATTAGAAACTATTTGGGAATTAAATTAATTCAGTGGGTTGAATATTAATTAATTAATAGTCGATTAATTGGAATATTTTTGAATTCCTTCTAAGGATAGGGTGAACAAAATTTAGGGATGTTCCATATGTGATTGGAGTAGATTTAGGCCTAAGCAACTATATCATATAAATAGGGTGCTAGGGATCACACCCTAATTGCTCATTCCTTTGGGTTGAATCTTCATCTATCTTCTCCATCTATTATTGGATGGATTTCTCACTCTCTCTTGGATTTGTAGAAAGAGTTCTTTTCCTAGTTATTTTATTCCATTATTTGGTGTTCTTGGGTGTGAACCAAAAGAGGGATTCTGGTTTGGATCCTTACATCCAAACAATGTGGCAACTAATGAAGTTGTTGCCTATAACAAACACTACGATGAGTCGAAAAAGGTTGTTTGCCTCATGTTAGCGACCATGTCTTTTGAGCTCCAAAAGAGCTTTGAAAACTGGGGTACTTTAACATGAATGAGAAGCTCAAGGAAAAGTTTCAAGAGCAAGCCAGAAAAGAATGATACAAGATCCTTAAATCCCTCATGGCATGTAAACTACAAGAGGAAACATAAGTATGTACACACATTCAAAATATGAATTGGTACATAGACATATTAGGAAATCTTGGTGTCGAGTTGCTAAAAGGAGTTGAACATTGGCATGGTCTTGAACTCGCTTTCTAGTTTGTATCAACAATTCATTTTAAACTACAATATTAACAACCTC